TCACCGTGTCCAATCGGCACTGAAAGAGGCTAGGGCGTGCTTGGAAAAAGCACGAGATAGACAGTCAAAGCATGCGGACCGCCATCGGAGGGATGTGTCGTTTAATAAAGGAGATGACGTCCTCCTTTCAACACAACATATCACCCTCAAACACCCTGGAACTCGAAAACTGTTACCGAGGTGGATTGGGCCCTTCACCATCCTCGACCGGATAGGTCCTGTCACATATCGACCGGAACTTCCGGAAAGCATGCATAAGATACATCCAGTATTTCATGTATCAAAGATTAAGCCGTATAAGGCTAGTGGCAGAGTACAGCCACCTCCAGTCCCTATTGAAATCGAAGGGGAACTGAAATATGAAGTTGAACGCATTTTTATAAAAAAAATTAAAAAGCGCGGAAGGCGCCAAAACTCGGTAGAGTACCTCGTCAAATGGCTGGGATACGGGCATGAGCATAATAGCTGGGAATCAGCAAAAGCAGTTGCAAATGCACAGGAACTGGTTCAAGCATTTGAAAATGGAAAAACTCCTGTTGTGCATGTGCCAACGGACCGTAGTACAAAATGTACACGTTGAAATAAGCTCATGTATGGTTATGCCTTTGACAGGTCCTGCCGAAGTGGGCCCAGAAGCAGAATGGGTATACCGGGCCCCGTACTCGTACGTTGTTTGGACATATGAACGCAATGTCCGTAGCTATCTTGAACGGGGAATATCTGGCCACGGAGCAGCCATTGATCCAACCTCTGCGAGAGCCCGTCCGTGCTCGTGGGCGAGGACAAAATCCATATTCGTGGGGTGGACATAGTTGGGCATATGGTGGCCGCACGTATTGGGGTAGGGGGCGTGCTGGGTGACCTGCATGTCCAATATCTTTCCCTTGAACGGACATAGGCCGGAAGGTCAGAACATTGCAGCCGAAGTGCTAAACGAAGAGTTTTAATGAGGGTTGTCAAAGGCCGGCAGGTCATGTAAAACAACCACTCTTTCTCTTAATCACCGTATGTATAATGTATGTATGATTACCGTGCAAACTGGGCATGTGGCAAATCGCACAGCCAGTTGTCGTATACATACATAATGTTCCTGCTCCCGTATCCACATGTTGGGACGAGGACGCCCCTCTCCCTGAGGGGGACGAATGTTACGCGCACCGGCCTGATGTGGGGGACGCCCTACTAATGGCCCTTGGTGTGGGGGACGCCCTGCCCAAGATAACTATCCTCGACTCATGGTAACCATTCTAGGTATTAGGATATGGGAGTAGGAGGGGTGGTCCCGCCTAGGTCCCCATAAGGACCTAGGTGCCCGGCGTGGCGGGTCCGCGGCTCAAAGAGGGTAAGAACCCCACACCCACATGCTTTACATATCAGATTACCAACAATGACATGATTTGATCACCGTGTCCAATCAGTGCAAAAAGAGGCTAAGGCGCATTTAGAGAAAGCACAAAATAGGCAGTCAAAGCATGTTGACCGCCATGGGAGGGATATGTCATTTAGTAAAAGAGATGATGTCCTCCTTTCGACACAACATATCACCCTCAAACACCCTAAAACTCGAAAATTGTTAACGAGGTGGATTGGGCCCTTCATTATCTTTGACCGGATAGGTTCTATCGCATATTGACTAGAACTCCCAGAAAGCATGAGCAAGATACATCCAGTTTTCTATGTATCAAAGCTCAAGCCTTATAAGGCTAGTGGCAGAGTACAACCACCACCTGTCCCTATCGAGATCGAGGGGGAACTGGAGTGTGAGGTCGAATGCATCCTTGATAAAAGGATAAAAAACCATGGTCGTAGACAGGACTCTGTTGAGTACCTTATCAGATGGCTGGGTTATGGCCATGAACATAACAACTGGTAATCAGCAAAATCAGTTGCCAATGCACAGAAATTAGTTCAAGCATTTGACAATAACAGAACTCTTGTTGTTAACTTACAAAATGGTCACAATACGAGATGCAAGCATTGATTATAAGCATATCTGTTCTCCTGTGTGTAACAAACACTACTGCGGTGGGCTCAAAAGAATACCGGTTATCAAGAAATCTGGTCCCACTCATAGTTTGGGTATATAACCACCATATCCATCGCTATCATAAATGGCAAGAGGATTCAGGGCGACGGACCATTCATGGCAGCCGCGAGCTGAAGTCGAGGCAAAGACGGAGACCCGGGCTACACCCAGTGGGGTCGCAGCCATAGGAGAACGGGCCAAGGCATTCGCACGGGGGGATGTGCGGGGTGATACCTGCATATCCTGAACATTCCTTGGGCGTTTGTATGCCGAGAGGTCATACTGCAGAAAATTGTATATTATAGATTAAAAATAAACTTTCCAGCCGGTAAGTTGAAGGAAGAGTTTTAACGAAGGTTGTGTGCAGAAACATTCTCCTTGTAACAACCACTCTTTTTCTTCAATGCATATCTTGTAAACATAGAATAGTCCAAATTGGGCATGTGGTGCAATACACAACCAAGCGCCATATACAGCAGGCTCATCAGCCACGCATGTATCTACTCCCATGTCTACACACAGGGATAGGGATGTCCCACCTCCCTGAGGGGGACGAATGTTACGCATAACCTAGTGTGGGGATGCCCTGCCATGGTCTCCTATTGTGAGGGATGACCTACATAGGGTACAATTATAATACCCAAACCGGACCCTATACTATTATACAATATAGGAGTAGGTCGGGGTGGTCCCGCCTAGGCAAGGACCTAAGTGCCCGGTGAGGGTGGTCCATGGGTTAAAGAGGGTAGGAACCCCACACCAACAATTAACACATATCAATCGCGGGTCACCCTGTGTGGCTTTGAGCAGCACGTTCAATCGGTTGGGCCAATATTTTTTTTGGGGGGGAACATTACATTGATATCTTAATATTGTAAATTTTGTAAAACATGATATTTGTGCCCCTACTAGCTTAGCGAGCCTCGTTCTTTTGCAAATTTTGTGTGCTGGCATGATGGTCGTCACAGCAATGTCAATGACATTATATCATGTGTGACCTTGCCCTTGCTATGCAAATTGTACTGTAAGGGCAAAGTTGCACATGATATTGCTATATCAACAAGCGTGCCATGTTGCACTGTGCAACATATGCGATTAACCTAAAGGATTATTTCTGTGATTGTGTTGGCAGGTACCATGGTGTTTTTGCATATGCCATCAATGATGACGAAAGGCGGTCGCCAGTGACGCTTGTGTCATATGCATTGCTGGCCGCCACTTGACTTTGAGATGGCAGCGCCTTGCACCACATTAAGACATCTGAATGGTGGACGTTGACTGGGTCCCAGTGTGGAGTTTCGCTTAAAGAAATGTGCATTGTGATATTGTTGTGCATTTTTTCAGTGACTTATCACATTGTAGGTTCTATTGCAGGTTTTGTGATGACAACCTCTTGGTGTGTCTGTGATGCCCTCACACCATGCTATCGGCTACATGGGCCCGCACCATCGCAGGCTTGAAGCGGCAGTGTTGTATCCGGGTTGCTTTTGGCCAATGTTTTTGTGACTAGTTGTATAACAAGTTTTATAACAATAATATCTTATGCCAAATTCTTGGCGTGTCTTGGATGCCCTTGTACTATGTGATTGGCTACACAGGCCTGTCTTGTTCCAGGCTTTGAGTGGCAGTGTTGTATCCCATTGCCATGTGGCCAGTTTTTCCCCTCATTATGCGATCGGCTGCACGGGTCCCGTTCCATTGCAGGCTGTGAACGGTAGTGTCATATCTTGGTGTCGGGCAAAAGAGCGATTCAGCGGCAGTGGCACAGGAATAGAGGCAACGGATTTTTTAGCAGAGTCAATGGCAAGTATGGTAGGAAAAATAAGTACAACAGAAAACCAGGCAACCAACAGATTTGTTGACGAAGTCAATGGCAACCTGCGGAAAACGCACAGAAAAAAATGAAGACAATTTTCTTGCCAAGGTCAGCGGCAGCAGCGGCAATGGAAGAAAGTAAAGGTAATTTTTTTAAATCAGAAAAAACCGCTGAAATCGCACGATTAGTGGAAAATATGGAAAAAACGGAAATACAGTATGGCAATCAACGGACAGTAGCGGGTGACCAGCGCCGACCTCTAAAGGGGTTGTGATCTTTCTCAGCACACGTCAGTGTGGGTGCTGCCCCCATGGGGCCCACAGCACGGGCCGGGGTAATGCAGCATTTAGCAATTTTGAAACCGTACTCGCATGTACTCGCATGTACTGCTTGCCATCGTTGTTGAACAAGAAATCTTGAACTTCGAGATCTTCTCACCAACGAAAATGGCAGGGTGAGTGAATGTGCTGCTGCCTGTGAACTTCACCGGTCAATTCTCACAGAAAAGAGATTCCGACCCCTTTGTGAGGAAGGCTCATTCTTTTCTTTCGGGGCAGTAGATGCCAGCAACACACCATCAGTCTAAAACCCCAAACCATCGCTGGCCGCCGTGTACGGGTTGGTCGGCATCTGCCCTCAGAGTTGCTGGTACATCGAATGGCCCAAGCAGCCAAAGAACGGGCAGGAGCGCAGAGGTACACAAAGGTGCTCCAGACTGATGGCCTCATTACCGCCCGCAGCCCGGCTGCTGCCCTGGAAATCCCAGTACAAGCCCCCGCACACTCCGCGGCAGCGCCTCGATGTCAGCCTCGGCTACTTGCCCAGCAAAAGCCTCATCCCTCGGTCAGGAATTGACCACCCTCAGTAACCTGAGGTCCTGTACACCAGCCTGCCAGGAATCGACCATCCTCAGTAACCCATGGGCTTGCAGGACTGGCAGTACGTGACCTTGCTCCTGTACATCAGCCTGTCAGCGTCTCTGGTACTTCCGACTCCCTGATGCGCCGTGTTGACATTGGTCACACCGTCCTGCTCTCCCCCGCCGGTTTTCCCAGCCCCCGTTTCTGTGCGCAGTTTTCCGGCCCATACGCCCCCCGTTAGTAAGGAGCATGGAGTGACTGGCGGCGTGGTCGGCGGCACCCCGTGGCCCGCGAAGCCATGGCGGGCCGGCAGCCTGCAGGGGAAGCACCCCACGCGCCTCTGCCGGGGGTCGGAGAAGGACAGATGATCGGCCAGAAGGAGGGCTACATAGGTGGGGGTCGCACTCGGGTGTGGGGAGGGGCGGGGCGGAAGGGGGGTGGGGTGGGAGGGAGGGGACATTTTGTCGATAGGAGCTTTGGGAAATTTTGGGTGTCGCTGGCAGAATGGCGGCGGCGCGAGGCGGAGTTGAATGGTCGAATCCGCTTCAAAAGTGGTCGGGGGGATCATGAACTTTTCTTGGTGGTGTTGATGGGTTCGGGGTCCTCGTGCAGGGCCGGGGGCTTTCTCGGGATGGTGTCTGTGGCCCTGGCGGGTCGGCGGTGTTTTAAGTTTGTGCTACCGCGCGTGCGTGTGTGCGCTCCGGACGGTTTCGCGGCTTTTGCCCCAAGTCTGCGCCGTGGGTGGTTTCGAACGGCAGTGACCTGTGCTGTACGGCAGCCGGTCGGTTGACGAGCGACGTGCCAATTGGCTGCTGGCTGGGGCGGAACGGCGGCTGTTGTCGGTCTTTGGAAAAATGAAAGCGCAACATAAAACCCCAAGGCTGTGGCTGTCGCCAGATGGACGGACAGCGTTCTCTGTCCTCGCAGCGTTCTTGTTAGGTTCCCATGCCTACATTGGCCCAGGGCACCGGGCGAAGCCCACGCACTCCCTTCCGTTTGGCGCTGTTGATTGTGCACGCACTTTGTGCGAATGTCTGTTCACGGAATGCGCCTCGTGTCCCAGGCATCCACTGGCGCTGATCTTGTTGGCGCCCGCTCCTTGATCCTGTGCACAGGGAAAATCGGCGCATGGACAAAAGTGGCGTACGGGCTGCCTGGCTTCGCGACGACCTCGCTGTCGTTCCTGATATCTGTGTACGCCAATGACTTTTACAACCTCTTGGTGAGCATCTCAACCTCCACTTGCTTTGTATCCAGATCCCACGCGACGGGACCTTGAGGCCCGGTCAGTACAGCTGACGGGAGTCCCCCTGTCCGCCAGGATTTTTGTTCTTGCCTTCTTCTCCTCTCGCACCCCTCCCATGGGTGTGCCATCCGAATTTCGGTGGATTTGCTGCCATGCCTTGTATCTTTTGCACTTCTCCAATGGACTCTCTTCCTGCCATGTACACTTAGAAACAATGGCACACACAACGGCCACCAAGAGTGGTGCACAAATTGCACATATGACTCCAATCGCTCTCTCAGGCCGCCGTTCACTATGCCCCCCCTTTCCCTTGCCCAATTTCCACAACCACCACTGTTGCGTGGCCCCCTTGCACTCAATCTGCCACATACCATCGCCACCTCCGCTGTTCAATGGACCCCTCCACTCCCTCCTCATTTGTGTGTTTGTGTGTGTCCTCCACTATGCGGCCTCTTCCTTCCAGGGTGTGGGCTTATCTTTCCTGTCCTTCTTCACTGCCCTTGCCCGATCTTTCGATGTCCTCACAGACCCCGTGATGGGCTGGTTTTCTGACAGAACGCGGACATCTTGGGGCCGAAGGCGGCCGTTCATGGCCAGCGGGTGTATCTTCTACGCACTCCTGTTTGTTTTGCTGTTTTCCCCACCAGTAGGACAAGGTAATTGTTGACTAGAAGCACACGAAACCCACCTTCGTTATTGTGTGGCATAGTTCTGCCCTTGCATAATGACACAGGATTCTAAGAGAAATCTGTCTAGGCTTGCCTGCCGGCAACTTGTGTATGACATGGACTTAGTACTGTAAGCTAGTGAAGAGTCATATTTCAGCAGCTCTAACTGTTACGCTGGGTTTTGCACAGCCACAACATCGGCTCCAACACCTTTCGAAGGCCTCCACACACAGACTACGGGTTTGTGAAGTTGTTTTCTTGTTTCTGCAGTGTGCACTTGTTGAATGGCCAACCCTCAGACAGACATTCGCCTTTGCCAGGAAAGCTATCACTTTGCAAGTACTGTGGAAATTGTTTGTTGGAACATCGATGCATTCACTCCAATTTGTAAGCAGTGGAGTGAACTGCCAGTTGGGTTTCTCATGTGTGGATCGAGGCGTGGCAGGCAAAGAAACTCAATTTACACACCCAATCAGCCTTGGGCTGTGGTGAACTCTCCCTTCAGTGTCATTATATTTCTATTGCTTGCTTCTGATTCAATTGAACATGTTGCTCCCACAGAAATGCGCAACGAAATTTGCAAATCCACAAGATATATGTGAAACCTTGAAAGACTCATGCACTGCAAGATCCAAGCAAAAGTGCAACCTTGCGTTGCAGCTTTTTGCCTCTAGCCATCAGAGTCATTCCCGTTGCAGAAAGGGCAGTTGTGGGCGACCCACTGATTTGTTCAAGTCATGCTGATGCTCATGGTCTGGCAAAAGCAGTGAGACTCACATCAATTTAGACAGCATATTGCGCTATTAGCACACCAGTTATTCCCATGCTATGACATGTTCTTTCTGTTAAAAAGCCAGTATTAGCATTGGTATATCATGCATCCATTGCCCCTTTCAGGATGGTGTCATGTTTAATTTTGCACAATCGTTTGTGTTCTGACCACTCCAATGTTTCTCTTGTAGGTGGAAGCAGCAACACTGCCACGCTATGGTTTGCTGTCTTTTATCCCACTTTCTATCTATTTGACACATTCACGAATGTGCCCTATGAGGCTCTTGGGCCTGAGCTCTCAGATGACTACATTGAAAGGAACCAAGTTTTCTTCACCGCAAAAATCTTCAACTTCCTAGGTGAACCTAATTTTGCCCTTACCGGCTCATGTTGGTTGCTGTGGTGCTAGTTTGCTTGCAGACAACACAACACAACCTGCCAGCCCAGTGCTTTTCTGTTGCTTTCCAAATTGCACTACAAGTGACAGTTTGGATGCCTGACTTGTTCCAATTGCACATTATCCCTGTTGGAAATGGTATTGAGCCAGGATCCAAATGTTCACACTGTCTATCAGCAGTTGCCTCAATGTTCCACTTCCTTGAATGGTGCGAAGAACATGCACATCCACTTCATAACGGTAGCATGGAAGTGCTTGCAAGTACATGTAGATGCACGCTGACCGGCATCCCTGACGTCGCCTCACAGGTGCAAGGACGGCACATTGCCATTGTCTGCCAAGTGTTGTCACTGTAGAGCTTACGCTCACTTGCAGACTGCAAGGAATTGTTGAATTTTGTGTCAGTGCACCCCCCGTTTCATTCCCAGCACTTGTTTGCTGTGTCAACTGTCGTCATAGTGCCACCCTGTGGTAACAGCCCAAGCATTCGTGAACAGTTCTGATACAACTGGGTAAGACACCAGGAAGAGTACCTTCAATGCCATTTTAAATTTTGGGGGCAAAGCCTAGCATTTGTAGCATTCTTACATCTTTTCAATGAACACTGTGTTCGCTTCACTAACACTGTGACAGTGTTGGTGGATGATTGTATTGCTCATTTTCTTTCCACAACCAACCCCCCTTTCAAATGCAAAAGCACTGTGTTGCGATTCGAACATTCCTTGGCGAGGCAATATTGACTGCTATCTGCTCACGTCTTGCGGTTTCCTCACAGTGCAAATCTCTACTTGGCTGCCCGTGATTGGCCACACTTACATTTTGATCTGCAGGAATGCTGGTTGCTGCTGGTGCCCCAGCATGCATCACGTTTCTTCTTCGCAAGATAACCAATGCATATCTAGACTGCCGGAGCATGTTCTCCATCGAAAATGTACCAGGTTTAGACCAGCCGAATCCACCGGAGTTCCTTGAACCGTCCAGTAGGACGTGCTCAAAAGGGACATACTGCGATGGCTCCTCTGGGCGGGTGAGCTTCTGCTGGCTGTTTCCCTGGCAGTGTTTGCCACTTGTCGCGCTGGTTTGTTTCAATTCTTTTGGCTTGTATGACTTGATGGTGTTGTGATATGGGGGTATCTCTGCACCACTAGTTTCAACACAAAGAGGCGCAAAGAGGTTCCGCTGTGCAGGTTCATTGCCTTTCAAAACTCTTGTTGCAATCTGAAGTGTAGCTGCTGTGTTTTTGCTGAATGAGAACAGGCTCCTGCTTATGTTTTCCGCTTTAACAAGTGTCCACATGCTCCGTTCGACATGAGTGCACAGGTTCCACACGTCCTTCAAATGTCCACATTGATGACGTGCTAGGCTGGACTGGACAGGGAACTGGCTATGCCATGAACGTGTGTGCTAACAGACTGATGCTGGAGGTTGCATGTGTGGCTGCAGGTATGTTTTTTGCAGACCTACCTGCAGGACACTGTTAGGGAGTACTATGAGCTGGAGCTGGAGAACCTGAATGACCAGTGTAGCAAAGCTATCCTGTCCCCAAGCCTGTTGGACTGTTTTGGAAGGAGTGAGTCTGTTTGTGAGACACCTGAGGCTGAGGATGCAGATGTCTGTGTCCCTGCGGAGAGATTCTCCATATCTTACCTTGACGCCCAACGAAAATCGTTCTTCTTTGTGTCCCTGGTGTTCGGTGTGTACTTCATGGCCAGCATGTGGAACTGTGTGGTTTCCATTAGAGAGAGGAAGATGTCTGTGGGGGCCAAGGTTGCAGTCCCCCTGGTGCCATCGATTCTGCGAGCATTCAAGAACCGTGCATTTCGGCCCCTCCTGGCAGCCTGGGCGCTGGATGGGTTGGCCTTGTCAGCAATTGTGACTATGTTCCCTTTCTTTATTCGGTATGTCGTCATCAGTGATGGTGTGAAGGCCAACGAGGGAGGTTATCCGATGGATCCGATGGTAGGGGCCAGCTTCTCATGAGCTTGCACTTTGCACTCTCTTGTGCCTAGTATCCCTTTGTGCTGTGTCTGACTATATGTGGGAGGATTGAGTCCTAGTCTGCTCGTCGACCGGAGGTTAGCATTTCAGGGAATTTGGGACAGGAGCTCCACTGTGACATATGCACACAGTTGTTGCAAACCTGTGCACCCCTAAGCATTGAGGCCCCTCTGGGACATGAGGCTATTTCAGGGCTGATTATGCGTAGGCGATCTGACTACTCCTGAATCCCTGGTGAAACCTCATACATCGTACTTCAGTATATTTCAGAGATATATCAACAGTGGCGATTGCCTGAAAGATGAGCGAGAGGAACAGCAAGGCATTGTAGCAATGCCATGGAAGATCAATGGATGGGTGAAATGGACCTGTAGCCTGTGCAGTGTGTGCATGGAGAAGGTTATGTTCAACGTGTTGTGTTTGTCTTCCAGGTTTGCATGGGAATAAGTGTGATGGGGCTTCTTATCGCAGCAATGCTGTCAGCCCCTGTGTGGCTCATTCTGAGCAACAGGTTTGGAAAGTACAACGCTTGGATTCTGTACAATTTGGTCAACGTGTTCACAAACCTTTTGTTCTTCATTCCTGCCGAAGGAGACCCAGGTCAGACAATAGCTGTCATGATGCTGAACGGCATTCCTGTGGGTGGTCAGTTCTTGACAAGCTCCGTTCTTGCAGATGTTATTGACTATGACGAGGTGAGAATCTTTGAATGGGTCGCTCTGGAATGTCCTGATGAAAATTGACATCTATGCTCGTGGTTGGCACGTTCAGCGACTCAAGCATCCCACACGCAGTTGTGATTTACTTCAGAACTGTGTTTGGACTTGCTAGGCATGCAGCTCACTGCCAGAAAGGAGGCTTGTGTCATAGTTAGTTCCTTCTGAAGAGAGTGAAAGTGTTTGAGACTCTCTGTTGTTTTTGTGGCATCACAGTTCCTGAATGGCTCAAGATCTGAGGGCAGCTTCAGTGTGTTTGCAACACTGATTCCCAAGTTCGTGGCCATTCCTGCAAGTGCCCTGCCTCTGGCTGTCGTGAACCTACTTGGCTTCGAGCCTCCAATCAAGGGAGTTGCGCAGGAGCAGACCGGTGCTGTCAAACTGTTCATCCGTATGACGTTTGTGCTGCTTCCACTGCTGGCAGCCTTCTTTGGCTTCCTCATAAAAATCTTCTTTCCAATAAAGACACCAAAGATATTGAGTCAGATACAAGAGGGCATTGCCAAGCATGAAAGGTATATTGCTGTTGTCTGGCTTGCTTTCTGTTATGACTGCAATAAGAGACCATCACGTGAGTTGAACGAACCCAGAAGGGTTCGTCATGTTCACCTGATTGAGTTGATAATCGTCTCTTCTAAACAGAACTAGGAAACCGAAAGTTCACATTGTGGCTGCTCCCCGCCTGACTAAGAATTGTGAAGTGCAACTCTTTTGCATGCAATGAAGGCGAGTGTTCAAGTTTGCAATTGGTTGTATTATGGTGTGGTGCTCTGGTACTGATTGGGGAAGTACATGTGGATGAACTGCATTGGTTAAATGGCAATGTTGAATTGTGCCTTGTCTATTTATGTTGCTGAGGAAGGCCAACGGACCAAAGCTACCAATAGTGTCCGGGGTTGGCCTGTGTCGATGCTGGTCTGATAGCAACATCGACACAGGCAAATCCTGATATTGTTGCCTAAACAGTGACTCTTGCTGTCGTTGAGCTTTACGATGATAACTTCTGTCAAGAGTTGACAGCGAACTGCCCTTTTGTTGACCTGAGGCAAAGGCAGTGTTCAGGCATTGCGATCAATCAATTTTTGTGTCCATCCCCAAACTATGAATTATCAATGAAATTGCCTGCCAGACGCGCTGAGTCGCCATGCAGGTGCATAGACTAGACATTGGACCCATTTGCAATAAAATGACACTATGGTGCCATTGCATTTTCAAAACAAAAACAAGTGTTCACTCAGGGATGCACATCGTGCAGGAAGGAGCCTGCCATTGATCCCCTCACTGGCCATGAAGTGAAGCTGATGGAGCTCACAGAGGAGGAGTCTGATGCTGTTTGGCTGTATGAGAATTTCTCATCTGGCTGCTTGCAGTATTTGCAGGAGCAGGGGACTGCCAAACCGATCGTGATAGAAATGGCCCTGTATTTTGCTTCTGGTGGAGTCTTCACCATTTCATTCTTGGTGGCCACCATTCTAACGTTCAGGTTCATCGACAACCGAAAGTTGGCGATACTACCAATTGGTCTGGTGGGTGAGGGCTGGCAGCTTTTTGGGAAGGGGGAGAAGGGGGGGGATCTTGGGCTGGTTGTACTCCTGATGTTGGTATTGTTGGAAGTGCCAAGATGTGCATAATGTCTTCACAGCAAAGGATATCTATTCAGTTCTTGTTGCCCTGCATGTCTCGTGGCATATCTTCAACCATGTAATAGAGCAAGTCATGACACTACTTGGGCATGCATTTGCTACCACCAGGATCCCATGTACAGGATGTTCAAGTTTGGAGAATCCGGCATTGGAGTTATCCAACGTTGTCACTGCTCGTTGTGGGTTTTATGTGTTTAACAACAGGGAATATTCAATTGCGAGTGCCTATATTGTGTGGATCGGTTCGTTGCAAATAGAGGATGGTGATTGGAAAACATTGTTGGAAAATGGCTCAATTCTGTGCTCTTCAGCATCATGTGACGTTCATTCATGACACAGGCAATATTCTGGCCTTGACAACGCATAGTCTGCAAGTTGATGCTGTTGTTCTTGTTGCGCAGGTGATCATGTTTGGAATGTCCTTGAGTTTCATGCTGCTCAACATGCTGCGTTTCTTTGATGCCTTGACATTGAGCAGATCGGACTTTTCAAAACACAACGACTTGATCGCAAGGCTGATGCTTGCCAAGACACATGGACAGCGATCGGGGGCCATTGGAGAAACACCAATCATTGTGGGTATTCCGGCCTTCGCGATTCCTGGGAGCAACAACATTTCTGGCAGCATGGCATGCACCAAGTTGGAGCCCTTCCAACGACAGTCAAGAAGTTAATTGTGGTTTTCACTGGCCAACCTTTGGGGCAAAGCATCCTCTGATGTGTGTTTACTACAGGAACGGTGCCATTGTGTGCAAGCACTGTGGCTCTCCCCTGACAGAGTCTGATGTGACTCCCTAAGCCTCTCCGCCAATGCAATCTATTGTTGGTTGCGCATTCAACCTTGAAATGCTTGTGCCACACTCGTTGGCGACTTTTGCCAATGGGCACGGTGACATGGATGGTCTGCATGTGCCAATACAGTGGCTTTTTTGGCCGCCTTTTGCCAGGTGCACCTGACCCTTTGTTGCCCAGCTACACACAGCAACAAGGAATCACACAGCTGTTTGGTGTCAGTGTACGGAATTCTGTAAGCTGCACGCAATGTGGTGCATTTATAAACAACACGAGTGTGCACATCCAACTAAGCAGTTTGATTGGCACATTGCCCTTTTGACTTATCTGTTTGCTACGCCCCGGCACAGACTAAGTTCCTTTGGACAACAAGGGAGCGAGGATTAGACATTCTGTCACGAATTTCGTCCAGCACAAAAGCGGTGACCCCTAAAGCGAGTGGCGATTTTCCCCCGGTGAAGGATAAGAATAGGGGGTCTGACAATGCTGACAGTCCACACTGCTTGAAAGCTGTGCCACATCATAGCGATTCAGATTCGTTGGAGTCCCCAATAAAGATACTTAGCCAAAGGAAGGTTGTGGACAAATCGAACCCATCTTTTCTCAAGGGTGGAAAGGGAAAACGTGACCCAATGGTGGTGGCTGTCAAGCCTTCACAATCGAAAAGCCCAAGAAGTGGCTAACTGGCTTGCAGAGTACACAGACAAGCCAGTCTGGGGGGCCCCGTCGTTGTGGTACAGAATGTATTATGGAGTCAGGGATGATGGACTGGTGGACAGTGGTGGTTGAGACACCAGCAGCGGCATTGGGGGCACTGTGAGGCTCCAATGCTTGCAGACATTCTTTTCAGTTTCCAGTTGCCAGGAAAGGGTCAGGGGTGCAGGAGTTCACTACATGGCCGGCCTCCAGCGCAATGGATTCTTTGCATGTGACTTGCTCAAGTTTGTGGAAGGCGCCAGTTGTCCGTTGCATTGTTGAAACATCCCAGTGTTGGCTTGTAGCGCTTCTTCATGCTTGAGGAAATTCTTTTCTGCTTCATGCCAATCCCAAGTACTGACAACCAACAGTTGCTTCCATGTCCTCTCCAATGTACCACATTTGCAGTGGCTCCCCACACACTAACATCCTTACATCAGTTGCGGCACTCACAGCTCAGTGCCACAGATCTTGAGAATGGATGAACATGCATGTCGAATGGATCGTTTGAGAACAATGACGAATAGATACACAGACCAAGAGCAAATAAATCAGTGCAATGCTTACATGGACTGGGTATGGCAGATGGTGTTGAGGCCCTGAATGAAGAACGATGCGGATGAAACCAAGTTTGACTCGCAGTGACTGCCATATTGACTGCCATATCCTGCTTCATCTGTGGTTCATGGGCTAGGCGGGGGGTGGCATTGTGTGGGGTGAGATGGACAAAATTAGGAAAATCGTATTTGAAAGAAAAGAATAAAAAAATGCACCATGCTTGCTCCCAGGTGCACATGGTTGTGCTTGCCAGCTCAGTAAGTGGACTCCAATCAGAGTTGCCCATCCCTTGCAGCTGCACTTACAACTGAACCAAGATGGCTGTTTTGCACTGTTTCAGCAACCGCTGCTTCAGAGAACCTCACAATCATCTGAGCGATACTTGATTGTTGCCACCCATGTGTCAGCAGATGTGACCTTTTGAGGATCGCTTTCAGCGGTGCTTCTACAACTGTTACATTGTGGCATTTCCACTGGCAGGGCCACATGTTTCAAACGACTGATGAGAGCAGGCAGGAGGAAGTGGCATCCAAGTATGCATCACTGTGGATTGTCCGCTGGAGGAATGGTCGTTTTAAAGATACACACCCCAAAGGCTTGCAAGGTGTGTCACTTGATCTGTGTTAATTTGGAAAAGTTACCATCAGAGAGCACTCAATTTGCACTGAACAGTCCCTGAGCATGTCATTCGGCACTGAGGTGATGATCGCATTGAGCACTGTAATATGGCAGAGGCAATGGAAGGTGTGAGGGCACTGTACATGTATAAAGAGAAGTGACACACAGACGCCTCTGGTACTGGCCAAGTGGGCAACTGCATACCAATCAATCACTGTGTGCAGATGGCACTGCTCGTTTCTGAAAGGGTCCTGTGTGCTTGCAGCCAAGTTATTCCAAGTTGTATCGACAGCCCGTTCTCTTCTGCATTCGCAGCCCTTTTGGCACAGAAAACCCGACTTTGTGCATTTTGCAGCCCACTTACTTGTGCATTGACCTAAAATAGGTCAAGCTAAGATATGGGGTAAAACCACCAAGAGACAAACTGCAATCCAGGATGTTTTAAGAAATGGATTACGATGCCTCGACAAGGTTTTTGGATACGCATGAACACACGAATTAAAAATACGCGATAATGGGCTGCTGCAACCAATCTTTCTTTTGTTTGAGAAGCTGAAAAGATGAGATAGCCAAGTTGTGTGGACGCGGTGTGCACTTAGCGCCGCAGTTGTTGCATTGCCGATCACGATGAACAGCTTGACATGGTCACAAGAGCAGTAGCCACCTGCACGGTTTCTGGGCCTGGGGTGGTGCACTGCATGTCTCCTTTCTGTAACCTGTCTTATGGCAAGAACCAAGCCAGGACCCTCTCGTGACAGCCTGCGCAAAAATGCAACAGGCCGTAAATGTGCAAAAGGAGAAGGGAGATCTGCCAGCTCGTATGCAGGCAACAACCCCCTGCCATGCCAGGATGAACCATCAGCGAGCTCGTTGCCTGTTTCCCCCAAGTCACATGTGCAAGAACAATTTCATTGGGCTGCGAGCCACGCACAGGCCTTTGCCATTGCTCAAGGCCGCGAAGACAGGTGGACTCCTGTGTGCGGATCTTCGGTGTGTGATTCTTTGGATGCTGTCAGAGAAGCTTCCATAGCAGCAAGGGCCAGATTGGCCCCACCGGACAAGGGTCACAAGGGTGCCTTGGATTTTGCTAAGGGATCATTTTCTACCCTGCCAAAGGGCCTATCTAGGCCGATCCCTCCCTGGGAGCAGTCACACATTGGAGACTCTCAGGCCACACCTCCTTGGGAGCAGTCACACAGGGCAGAATCAGGGACAAGGAACGCACTTCCATCATCTTCTGGTGTGGGCCATGCCCTTGCCGACGTGAAAAGCCCTGTGCAAAGAAGTTCAGAAGGAAAAGGCATTTCAAGCGCTGCCATGCTAGCGGCACCGGACGCTGTGACTGAGTGCCACTGTGATACTCCGGAAAGCCAACAATCAGGTGTTCATTCTGACCACAGACTTTTGAGCCTCAGGGAAGTGAACATTTGGAGTGACAGCAGCGCAGACATGGCCACTGTGAGACACAACAACTGTGCAGCCACAATTTGGAGTGACTCCAGCCTTGGTGATACGATTGATGAACTGGAAGGAAGTCCACTGTGATACTCCGGAAAGCCAACAATCAGGTGTTCATTCTGACCACAGACTTTTGAGCCTCAGGGAAGTGAACATTTGGAGTGACAGCAGCGCAGACATGGCCACTGTGAGACACAACAACTGTGCAGCCACAATTTGGAGTGACTCCAGCCTTGGTGATACGATTGATGAACTGGAAGGAAGTCCCTTGGCCCATGAAGCATCTCAGCCTGAAGTCCACGTGGACATCCAGAACCCATTGGGTGTTAGCCTATGGAGCGATTTCAGCTTGGCAGACTCTCCAAGGGAAGAGGAAAAGAGCCTTGAATCAAAACGGGGTGGTTAGCTGTTCTTTGGTGAAGGGTAAGGCGCTGCCAATGTCTGACTTCCCAGCGTATTTGATGGGGAGGGTAGGCATTGCTGTTCATTGAATCCAACGAACCTGGGTGTGACCAGATTTGGCCTACCTTGTTCGCAAGATTGGTGCAAGTTGGTTGCAAGGACGGTCTTCTGTATGTGGTGGGATAAATTGCATTAGCATATTCTGTGCAGTCTTTCCGCATTGAGTCTTACCGTCTGTTGCCACGCCCTGCGCTTGTAGTCAGTGCCAGTAGTTCTGCTTGAATTTATGAGTGAGCTATGCGGAGAGGGACTTGACATTGTGTTGTTCCACACAGAATTGAGGAGTATCAGATCAGTTTAGCATACCTAGGTGTTGCTGGTGGCCCTGGACGTGGCCATGGTACATGCTGATGGGTCATGTATTGTGGGTATGGCATGGATGGTGACATGCACAGCTTTATCATAACAGCATATGTAGGAAATCTTCTGCTCCCTTGGTGTTGCTCTGCTGTTTGATGTCAATACCCAGTGCTGAGAAGTGCTTACAGGAATTGGACATACAACATGGGCGTGCTTTGGGTTTGTGCATTGATGCACCTGTACCTTTGTGCGAAAAACTGAATACGGTCACAGGCAATTGTCTTTAAAGGTCACACAGAGGCTGTGCCCACTGTAATGATGTGAGACAGCAACCTTGCTGTGTGGTTGCTTCTCGATTATCTATTATGTTCAGGACCATAGTTCTGCTTGTTCAGTAGATGCTCCTGGGCAGGTCACAAGGAGTTGGTTGCATCCTAACCTCCCCAGCCTTCTTTGCGTTGGTTTATTGGCGATGCACTGTGCAGTGCCTGCTTTGAGTTCCATTATGCCGGACAAATTTCGTGACTGAAGACTGGCCACCGGCATCGGATGCCACTAGATGGGCCTGTTTGGCAATGTACATTGTACATATTGTAACAAGGGATTGTGCAATCTGCTTGAGCAAGTGTGAGTCGAGGAAGACTTGACATTGCAGTGGTCCGCCGTGCATACAGACTGTTTGCTGGATGCACTCAGTCTCCAGGGCGCCTGTGCGTGCGTCTCTTCATATTTCCACTGTCATGGTGACCCTGCAGGCGACAGTTCGTTGTGCACAACTCTCATGGAAAGTACTGTTGCGATGCCGAACCCTCCATCACATTATCTGGCAAGCACTATTTGACTTTGGCATTCACCATGTTCATGGTTGAATGGAGTGCACTTGCTGCTGGTTGCTTTGCAGTTGTGGGTGCCAATTCCCGATGGTGGGGACCTCTATTGTGGATGCTTCGTGCCGTGCTTGAAGGACAGCACTCTGGATGTTTGTCAGGAACACAGTGAATGGTGTTTCTAAAATAGAATGTTGCAACAACAACTGGTGGGTGGTATACTGTTTCCCCCTATCTCCACAAACATCTGCACCTTGCACCCTTTTATTGTTGCCTATATGTAACACTTTTACTCTTCTATTTTTCTCTTTTAATATATCATTTTATTTTGCCAGTTTTGCGCATTAGCGAAACTGTGAAGCAATGCACTGTTTGTGGTGCTTATTATCTCATGGACTGCAGTGCGCTGCATGCCAACCAACAGGATTGTATGCTGTGGTTTGATGGAGAACACGGGAGTACAGACAAAATGGAACACAACAACCTAGATGGCTCCCATTAAAGTGAGAATAGGAAGGCGTTCGTCTTGGCAAGTGTGTTCCTCTTGGATCTTGGAATGTGGATGTTGGTACATTGGCCAGCCCAGCTGGTGCTTCTTGCTGACACACAACCCCAGGATATCATGTTTGCTCCATGCATTGGAAAGTTATTTCAGTAGGGACCTCTGCAAGCCAGATCCAGTTGTCAGAAATCCCCACAAGGGTGGCTGGGAGGTCTGCGTTCTTGTTCCGGTGCTGCATCTTGCCAAAAAGTGGCAGGAAAGTAGGTCCTTGCACATGTGTGCAATGAGCGACATATTGCCAAGCACAAATATGGTCGCAATATGTTCATTTGGCCACAGGCATACTGCCAACTAGCACCATGGGATTCGCACTTTCTGTTACGTCAACTAGAGTTGTTACCATGGAAGTCCAGGCAGCTCCAATCAAAAGCAGTATGCCTGGAGAGTGTCTGATCGTCAGATGGGAAACACGGTTGGTGTGAAGGTACCAAGCTAAGCAGCAAAATTTGGTGTGGCTGCCAAGGGACACGTGCACAGTACTGATCTGTTCTTTAGTTGAAAGTCACCAGCCATTCCTACTGCGATGTCAGGACCAGATGCCTTGGCATGATTATGCATGTGTGAATTCTCGAACGTGGCGATGATCCTCCATTTTACTATCTTGCAAATACCAACTAATGAAGTGCTCAAGGAAGGCTATGCTAAGCCACCTAGTCGAGTGTGGACCAGCAGGTAGCAGGCGTGGAAGCATCCTACCCAGTGTGTAAAGGTGTAGTGGATTTAGGTCGCAATCCAGTGGTCACAAAGCTGGGTCACCAGTGTGTCGAAGCTAGGCCCACCCTGGGGCAGATGGATGAACATTGCAAGAGCCTTTGCATCATTTCCATGGTTGGAGGGGCCCAGAATGTGGTGTTATCAAATGTTCATGTGGATACATGTTAGCACGGCTGGATGTGTGCAGTAATATCTGACACATGCTTTAGCACATTCTATCGAACAAATGCAGTGTGCATCCATGTACAGCGCATGGGAAGATGGGGTGGATGGGACCAGGATAGAGTAGGCAAGGCAATATTGGCCCTGGTTTGTCAATCTGCCCCTTATCCTGTTTGCTCCCCCAGTCCTTTTGGTGAAGCTGCTTTTCTTGTGCGCCATCAGGTCAACTCGCAGGATTCCAATCCATGCACCTTGACAAACCCCAAGGCGCATCCCACACCCATGAGGTACGGCACCAGACAGCCGGGGGCGCTTGACACGCTTGGACGTCAACCAATCGAAGTCGTGGCGAGAATTGGCAGACCAGAAAGCTCCCCATGAACTCTGAGGGCTATGTTTGCATTTGCGAGGCCGCTGGATAGACGCCGATGTTGCAGGACGGGCGCCGATACCGGCATATTCGGGATGCGGCGAGAGCTTGTTGGTTGGGCAGTGGGCAGCTGAAGGGCCTGGCACACAACACAAGACGGATCACAACCAGGCAGGCGCCACGTTGACACTACATCAAGCTCCAATTTGTGAGCGCTTTGATTTGTCCCGGGGTTTCCCACCTATATCTCCCTTAAACCTTGGTAGAAAAAGGGGGGATGTGGCCTAGATTGCATGTAATTGACGAATCTTACCCAGGCAGGCGCGACGGCCACATGCAGACATTTCTCCCTGTTCCTTGAGGTCCCGAGACACCCCAAGGGTGCCCACTTTCCCGTCGGCATTACAGTTTGAGGGCGTCACGTGGATCACGATGCTCGGGCCCGTTGGCCTCTCGAAAATGGGCCCCGGCGGACGGCGGGAGCGTGCCGCTGGTGGAGGCGACGGCCGCTGAGGGCTCCCAGGAGCCTGTAGCTAACAGCGCGGGGGGGGGAGACCGGCGCCCGAAAGAGACAGTGAACATAAATAAAACGGTGGGTGGCGCCGACGAGCGATTCGCTCGCCGGGTGGCGACACCTCACACTTGGGCTGGTGCTCGCTCTCCTTGGCGCGATCGCGCGGCTGCAAGGGTTGCCTTCTTTGGATCACTGCTGCGCCGCGCATCCTGGGATTTGCCCGCCGCGCTTGGCTGTTGACGGGACATCCGCGCGCTCTCCTGCCGCCCTCGGACGAACGAGCGAGGGACCCCGCCTTGTGACCCGGATGCTTACGCCCGCCGGGCTCCCGAGGGGAAGGGCCGGCCGGCCGCGGCGGAAGCTGTCTCACGGCCTTTGGCGCCATTGCACGACCAAAATGAAGGCGGTACAGACATAGTGTCGGGGCTGGGGGCAGCCTGTTGTAGCCTGTTGCAACCTGAACTCTGGCCGCGCAGCTCATGTCGTTCCGTGAAAGCCGGCGGCCGTGCCGGGGATTTGTGAGCTGCGGCGCCGCGGGGCTGGATGCCTGATGCGCGGGGGGTCTTGCGGCGACGCGCTGCCCGGTGATTCCCGCCCTTTGGGCTCGTCGAGGGCTTCGCGCCGTTTTGGGCCTCGGCAGGTGGGCCTCTGCTGGCCGCAGTTGTGGGCCTTTTATGCCTGGACTTGATTCCAGGTTGTCTCCAGACGTTAGGATTGCAGGGAACCGAGTTTCAGAGGTCGAAACTGCGTACTTGACGCCCGGGCAGGCTGGGAACATGGGTGTGTTGGAGGGGAAGCAGAGTACCGCTGTCCATGAGCTGCACGTGACAAATGCGAAGCGTCGCGCATGCACGGCCACGAACAAACAAAATGCACCAGCAGGAGCTGGGACCAAGGGACGGTGTGGATAGACGGTGCGGCTGCTTCTGCGCCTTTTGGCAGAGCGCAGAGCGGGACCAGCCCGGGGGCGCTCGCCTTCTTTCTTGTGCTCATCGTGCGCCGTCGAATCTGTCGGGGGCAGTGGCGGACTTCCATCGCGAAGCAGCGAGGGCTGGGAGGTCCCTGTGCCGCGTTCTGGCCAAGCACGCAGGAACCCCGGAACATAAGCCGACGCGCAAGCGAGAGCAAACTCAGAGCGGCCCTGTTGTGGCCCGGAAGCCCACGGGCGCTGTGTTGCATCCTCTGCCATAGTATGCAACGCAGTCCCGCCATCTCGTTGCTCAGGAGGTCTGTGTGTGTGTGTGTGTGTGTGTGTGTGTGTGTGTGTGTGTGTGCCAACCGCGTGACATTTTTCTGCTGTCTTCTGACACCGAGTCTTGGCGCGGAGCAGGGGCGATTGATAACTACCGGGAGGCGCGCCGGCGACGGCGGCGCCAATGGGGCGAGAGGCCCACGAGTTGGATCAGCAAGAACTTCGACGAGGTGCTAGTTCAGCCCGGTGATCAGGAGGAGGGCCTGCGCACGCACCGCTCATGCCCGCCGGGCGAGTGGTGGGCGGGCGCCCTGTCGCCGGGTGAAGTGTCCCACTTCATGAAGCCCAGCATCGTCATAGCTAAGCAACGACGCCTGTCCAGAGACACCCCATCGCCTAGGAAGCAAACTTCACAGCGGTCGTCCTACTCTGAGCTCACAGAAGACCTGGGCGACGAATCGGACACTGGTAGCACCCCCCTGTGTCCTGGGTCATTCTCCAGGTTCACTGGGAGCCCCACACCGCTTCTCAGTCCATCCATGACCACCTCTGAGGGACGGTGGAGCCCCTCCAGCTTGAGTGACGCGGACAGCACCACGGCTAGCAGCGAGCCCGAGTTGCCGGCACCAGAGGCTGTCGACGGGCCCGGCCTGCCGGCCATCTTGCCGCGGGTGGGTCGCAAGAGGAACAACCAGGGGCTGGAGCGGAGCATGAGCGCCATCGAGGCCAGGTTGCAGGAAATCAGGGCGCCAGTGGGCAAGTGTGGCCCCATCCACGGGAGGGACTGCTCGCCTGGGAGGCCGGGCGGATACATGCCAGGGCGTGGCCCCGCAGGGGGCGGAGCGGCGGCCAGCCTGACTGTGAGGACTGGCCGAGAGGAGGACAGGCAGAAAGTGACCCCACGAGCAAAGCCTGGGGAGGGCTTTCATGGCCTGTTGGACACCGCTGGGACGCTGTCGCCAGTACCGAGCGACCTGTTTCTGGCGCGGTCAGAGAGCACGGTGCAGGATGAGGACGGCCTGACGCTGTTCGTGAACCCCATGGTGTTCTGCGAGACGGTGGAGGACGACGTGCGGGAGGCAGCAGCCAAGGGGGAGGAAGGGGCCAAGGCGGAGGAGGCAGTGGGACTCATCGCTGGCGGAAAGGCAGACTCGCCCAGCAACAGGATGAACAAGAAGCTCAGGAAGGTCCAAGCGAAGATGGGTCAGGTTTTCCCCGTTGATGCCAGCGAGCACAGCAAGGAGAGAACGTCGTCTCCTGCCATTATGGTCGATTCTGAGGAAGAATCCGGCGTCGCCCAGGGGGCCAGCAGCAGCAGCAGTGTGGAGTGGAGGGCCAACAGCATCAGCATTGAGGAGAGGGTTGCGGCTCTGAAATCTGGACATTCTGATGCACCTGTGCCTGTTGCACCAGTGGCGCAGAATGTGCGTTTGGCTGAGGGGTGGACGCCCAGTTGGGCTAGCAATGGCATAGGACACTTCAGAGAAGACAGCACATGGGGCAGCAAGACTGAACAGACCTGCTGTAATCCTTTCAGGCAAGCGGCATGGAAGAGCAACATCGCATTTCAGTTCCGGGGCAACGTGGACAGCCCGACAACACAAGCAACGAAGGCTGCGCGGCGCAGAACATTCCTCAAGTCTTGCAGCCGGATCGCTGCCAGGCAGGGCCAGGATGGCAGCTGGTCCCCCACCGCGCTTTGGGTGGATGAGCAGTCTCTGGATGCCGCTGTGGACAGAGCGTTCCAGAACGTGGAACCCATCACACTGGTTCGCAAGGGCAGCAGCCAGGCTGAGTCACTGAGGTCCTTGACGCGGACGAGGAGCACCGGGAGCTGGCGCACGGCGCCATCCGTCACCACCCTGAGGTCCCGAGCACTGTGGAGCGATGAAGCGCCCTCTGTAGTTTCGCAGCTGCAGTCACAGTGCAGCAGCAGTGGCAGGGGATGGCAGAGGAAGACGCAGCCCTTGACGAAGATCGATGAAGATGCTGAGCTGTCCAGGAGGGACAGGCTCTGGGGAGGCCTGTCCATTGGCGTCCTGTCGCTGCTCTCCCTGTTCCTCTGAGAGTCAGAGAGGCAATGCATGTGGCACTGGGTTGTGCTGGTCGCCATGCACCAAGGGGGGTGGGCTGCCGGGCGTTTGCGGATGGCTGGAGAATGCTTCGTGACCGCTAGGCAGCTTTTTTGCTCGTCAGGGATGCCAATCAACACTGTGGCTGCCCTGTAGTCATTGGCGCGTAGAGGGTTACTGGGGCTCTGTGTCTTTCTGCCCTGAACTGTCCAGGTTCTTGATCATCAGCATTCAGGATCTAGCACTTCGCTTGCTCGAAACGCCAGCTGGGGGCTGGCAGGTCACCAAAAGACGTGAGAGGAATGAACACAACGGTTGTGAAGCGAAATGCGGGCAGGTTGGCGGGCTTAGGGTGTGGGGTGTGGGGCAGTGCCGGGGCAATAACGCTGAGGGGAATTGTTGTTTATTAAAGCAGACGAGGGAGGTGCCCCTGTCAATTGAGCATGGGAGGTGGGCAGGATTTGGGAGACGCTGGCTGGAGAGTCATTGGCGGGGAGTGAAGTCCGTGTTGCAACAGAAGCCATCCATGTGGCGTGCTCTCCGGTCTGCACTTTGACTTGGAACAATTTTCAAAGTATGTTCAAAACACAATTCCTTGCATGCGACACTGGCCACGTGGGGGTTTGTTTGTAAACCCGCGTGCAATGCATTTGTGAAACTATGCCAGGGCGCCGCCCTTGCACGAGCTGGGCGGCGCAGGGGCGACATGTGGCTGTTGGCCACGAGGTGTCGGATCAAATGGCCAGTGGTGACAATGCGCGTGGCGCTGCTGCTTCTCATTGTGCCATTCTTCATTCGCATCGTTTGTCAGCTGTTCGTAGCAAGTGTGCAGGGGCCTAATTGGCGACGATGGGCCGTTCTGCACATCACCGCGTTTGCCCCGGATTGGCTCTGCAGAAGTCGTACAGTTTGACCAAGATAGGTTGCGTCCCAGTATGCACGGCGACCTTTCTTTTTCTGTGTACTGATCACAGCACACTGCAGCCCAACCGAACTAACGTGGTAGGCCACTGTGATCATGTGCTGGGGACCCACCATCCTCTCGGGAAGTATTAATATCGCCGCGCTGGAGTATTTGCGTGTTTTCTAGGCCGTGCTGCAAACTTTGGATCGACCACCAATCAAAGGCACTGTTAGCCATTCGCCGCGGCAACGGTAATCGCTGGAGGCCAGGCGCCGAGTGGGCCCACGTCTTCTATTGAGAAATCGTTCGGCTACAGTTGCTGGAAAAGCGACGAGCCGCAGCGGTGGGAACAGTAGCGTTCCTGGAAAGTACCCATACGGGTTTATGGATTTGCCAAATGGCAGCCGACCTATTGCATCATAGATTATGGGTGAAGGGCTTACTGTAAAGGTGTCTGAAGGCCAAGCTGTTATTTGCAGCCTGCGGCCTCACCCCGCTGCCATGCGTGTCGGCCTGTGTTGTTCCCGACTTACAGGGAAAACAGCTGAAATAAAAGAGGAGCCAGCCGGAGTCGAACCGGCGGCCTATCGATCTGCAGTCGATTGCTCTACCACTGAGCTATAGCTCCAGATGTGCAATCAAATGCAAACGCGCAATACATATTGCACGAATCACTGCATTTCCTTGCACCGCGGTGTTCTTTTTTATTTAACTGGCATTCCATCTTTGCCGCATTTGTCCATGCCGTCTCGTGGGGAAGACCTCTTGCGCCGCGATGATTGCAAGGATTCGGCAAGCGCATTGCTCAGTACCAACGCACATCGCATGTCGATCACATATCAAACAATTTGTGCAACAACATACACAGGTGCGCCATGGGACCACGCACTCCCAACCCGCAAGGACACGGTTCCACCTCAAAACCCCGCCCTCGATTATGCTCATCGCCAGCGCGGGGCTGGGGTGGCAACCCATGGCGTTGTGTTGGCGGGCCTGCGCCTTCCCAACTGTGTTACTGCCATACAAGCTCATCACGGCCATATAACGGGAAAAAAAAACGATGCCAGTGGTGCTTCACACATGTGTCCAGGGTTGTCACCTGTTACCATTGCGCCCGTGCGGTGACGAAGCACAATTATCCCCATCAGCGGGGTGTCTGGGAATGTGTATGTGCGGCATTACCCGGCCCTAAGCCTGCCGGCTCGCCAGAGGTCACCGAACAAGGCAAGACGCCCAATGCGCATGATTTTGGTGCACGATTCACCAACCGGCATGGCCTGTTGGAGCTCCGGAGGGAGGCCCCGGCCGCAGGGGCGTCCATTCCTGCAACAGGCCTGGGTATGTTGCCAGCCACGGCAACCCCACTGCGCCACGATCGTGCCACCATTTTCGTTCTCTACATCAAAATTTCGTGCCCCGATGTGACTCCCGCCGCCACAGCCCATCACACCCCAGGGCCATGCGCAACCAACCTCAGCACATTGAGCGCCGCGAGCCTATCAGGGACTGCCTCCACCTTCGCTTCGGCGCCTTGCAGGCGCAAGGCCGGCATTTGTCACAGGCTGGCAGCTGTCGCCCAGCGGATCGCCACCTTGCGAATTTTATGTCAATTATCGTCCAGCGGATTTGCCACCTTAGCGTATTTTCTGTCCCAGAAATGAGACGAAGAAACATCCCGTGGCTGTCATGCCTGCAACGTCTCCAGCGGCCATGAGCCAGGCGTCCTGGCACACATCGGCCTCGCCGCACCACGCCAGTCGCTGCTCACGTGAGCGTCTTTATGCCCTGGCCATGAATGAACTTGGGGTTGTCCTTCGTGTACAGGTGCGTCTCCTGTGCCAGTTGGGCTCGGACGGCTTTGTTCAAGGCCGAGACAGCCCTCCAGCATGCACCGTCCAGGAACTGAGGTACAAAGCAGCATGTCGTCGTTGGGCCATGTTCATAATCTTGTTTGACAGATGTACTTCAAAAAAACTTCCCCCAAGAAAAAAATTGCATATTGTCATCGAACTGGCCAAACGAAATCAAAAGGTGCGAAGGCGCGTCTGATCGACCCTCGTTCACAGCAAAATCCAGCAAAGAATCGCCGCAGCAACCATCCTTGATCCTAAGTGAAGCTAAAACAGCTGGCGATCTGCCGTCCCAGTTGATGTTCCCCTTGGTACCAAGGAGTTCTCGTGTTGATGGAAAGCTTTTCCTTCATGTGCATCAACAGTCCACCTTCCAAGGTCGCTGATCGCCTCAAACACAATTGTCTGGAAACTCAACCACTTCACAATACCAGCTTCAGCATACACTATTGAGCTAATATGCAATGACAAGCTGCTTGGCTGCTTCAAAAGGCCAACTTCTGTGCACATAACTGATGTTCGTGGCCTGCACTCACCTTTAGCGTTCCCTCCACACGGAGCTCCATTTGCTCGTCAAACTCCTCTGCACTCAACACTGTCTGGCCAGCTTTGCTAAATGCCATATTCCATCCCTGCGTGAAACACAGCCGGTGGGTATCCCATGGGTGGCAGCATGTCCACATGCAACCGCCATCGAGCACAGCACCAAGGACAGCTACACTTCGGCACTGGGCACTCCAGTTCCAGGTTGGGCACGCCCACGAATGCACACCTCTGCTTTGCATCCACAGGGGCAATGTGACCGAGCATTGTCCCTGAACCATCAACGACGTGGTGAAGATTTGAGCATGTGCGTTAGCATACAGCAACATTTTCCATCCGTGAAAGGCACATTGCCTGCAAAACCGATGCAACACAAGTTGCTGGCTGCAATATGCCCAACGTCCTTTGAGGGAGGATTTTGATCATATTAACGAGGTTATGATCGATGCTGGAAGTCAGACAGGGCAACAAACGTGGTTTATATTGGGACATTTCGGTACATTCTGGGACACTTGGGACATTTGGGACATTACCTGACGAACCCTTTCTCTCCACGTCATTTGCTCTCTTGATGCTTAGGGCTCCCTCAATGCGACATCGAACGTTCATCATACACTGATGTTTTTCTTCCTCTCTTATTGTTTGGGACCCTACACCGGTTCTTGCTGGAAAAGGGTCCTGTTGGGCTTCATGATTCGTGGGGGAGCTCCTCTGTTCATATCATAGTGTGATACATTTGGAATTCAAAAAGAAAGAAAAAAAATATGCCCAACGTCCGTGAAACTGGACCCACGGTTGTGCATGCCGCAGTACACATGCAAGTTTCACAATGTTTACTGCTGCAGTAGCTGGAGGAACGTCAAAGACCAAGATGCCAAGTGAATGCACGAGCTCTCCAGCCCAATCACTTACCCAGGTGTCAGAAAAGCTGAGAACGTGTTGAGCGTAGGGAATGACGACTGGGAAAACCGATTCCAGTGTGTGGTTGATTGGCCCATACACCTGGATGAACAATGCACTAAACTTCAACGAAGTTGCAGTCTGCCGCATCAACAGTGACAGACCATCAGCATTTTGTGCAGGCCGACTCTGTATGGAAATACAGACCTGCAGCAAATTGACAAAAGATGGTGGCCATCGCTTGCAAGGTGCAAAAGCAGTCTTTTCAATGCATGCAACCGAAGCACTTGTGCCCATTTGGGCTTGCTGCGTTCTGGATCCAGGGCCAATCAGTGTGAAAAGACACAAGTGCAAAATGCATGAACTTCCTCAGGCAAGCATTGCTGGACAGAATGTGTCCTTGCAGGGGGCTTGAAATCTTCACATGGTCTTGTAGGTGCGAGACCAGCCATTGAAACAATTTGATATTGGTGATGAATGCCGATTTGTGCTCAACAATCAGGATACCTTCCGGTACCCATGCCTACCTGGTTGCAGCTCAGCACCCCTGCTGGACCACTCTGGGTAACAAAGATGCCGCCATCGCTCAACTTCTTTTGGATCACTGTCTGAGATGCACACACAAAATGTTTGTAGGTGTGCTTGCAGCATCAATCTGCTATCAGAGGACCACCATTCCAATCCAGCAGACAACGTCTGCCAGGTACATGCTGTCTGGTCTTGAAAACATGGTACTGCTGGAGCCTGGCGTGCATCCCCAGACCTGTGGGAATAGGCTAGGCGTCAAAGAAATCGAA